GGTCGTTGGATTACTCCCAAACTTTAAGACACAGACAAATGAATGAATTTTTTCATGTCTCAATTAACATGACTTAAGTCATTTGAGATGATAATCGGTTATTCATAGACAATAAACAATAATGAAAAGTGAAAGAGAATACATTAGGGTAGAAAGTAAGAAAATGACTGTTACTTTGTCTATGGACGACTGAAATCGTTTTACATAACATGATTATAATTATGTGAAATAAAACATGAAATGATCTATTTCCTTGCCAGGGATTCACGTTGTTAAGGCATGTATATACCTTGACTCTGTGAATTGTACTTTGACAATCCCTATGCTTCAGGATATATAGGGGACTCAGAGTTGTCTATTCATTGATCAACTAATGGATTACATGATGCTTTAATTAATTAACCTATTCATTTCTGAATTTCCCCCCAGGATAACTGAAATATGTTATCAAATTAAAAGAATATTCCTTAATGGTTTAAATGAAAATTAAAGTGTATGCATAAATAAATAATACAACCAACTTCTTGAAAACAAACAGAAAATTTAAAATGAGATCACTATATTAATTTGTATCTTGGTTAATTTTAATGAGATCACTTAATGGTTTGGTGCTTAATTATTATTTTGCATTGCTAAAATGGGGAATGAAGAAGCTACTACCGCTGCACGCATCACACATGCAATGTGAAGAAACAAGTGCAAAGGCTATCCAAAGACACAAGCATTGTGGTGACGACTTACGAGGGAATTCACAACCACCCATGCGAGAAGCTGATGGAAACCCTAACCCCTCTTCTGAAGCAAATACAGTTTCTCGCTAGCTTGTAAAGTGAAACTGCTTTCTCTGCTAGCTACAGCCTACAACTACATGCATGCATGCACATACATGTCATGCATGCACTGAAGTTCGCTTATTTATATATATGCTCTTTGGCTTTCTAAATAATGTCATTGTACTCGATCTCTATGTACACTACGTATACGTACTCTTAATTACTGGTTTGATTATGAACTTAATTTTGTATATTGATCAATATCAGTGTCTATATATATATATATGATCATGTGCTTGTCAGCTTATGTAATATGGCGTCGGTACATTTTACAGGTATCACTATTTACTATCCAACTTTAGTTTTAGTTTGAATTTCTTGACATGATTGTGCAAGCTTTGCTTCGGACATGCACATCATGTTAAGTGAAAAATTGCTTAGTTTGTACTTGGTGTGGGTGGTAATTAACCTAAAGAGTAGTGTTGTACTGTCAAATATAACAAATCTTTTACATGAAAGATGTGTCGAATTGTTTAATTTGAAAGAGATAAATAAATTAGAAGTCCAACTTCATTTTGAAACATCGTGTATAAGTTTGAAATTTATCTTACAAGTTCAACTTCATTTTGAAACATCGTTTAAGTTTGATCTTGTAAAGTTAAAACTCAATTTATTTATTTTTTTTCGGTTGAAATACTTTTAGTTACTAAATGTAAAAATAAATAATGTAGATGACACATAAAAAAAAGGCTTCGTCCTTATTTTTATAGATGGAAAAAATGTTTATCATGTTATTTCATCTCCTGTAATCACAAAATGATATCATTTTAGGATTTGGGAAGAAAATACAGAGCATTTTCTGAATTTTGCTTCTATCATGCAATATGAATTTTTGAGATAATTTATTTTATTTTTTTACAGAGGAAATTAACATTAAATCCTATATTATTTTCAAAATGTTATTTCTTTGGTTACGGGGTTTGATGTCTCAAGTTTTTGCCACATTAGTGCCTTTCAATTTAATTAATACACAAATACTATGTTAGTTAGGATAACGAAAATCAGTTCTTTAATTATTGGTAACATGACAATAATAATTTTATCTTTTTTTGGTATAAATATAATGTTTTTTAATTAACCACTTAAAGAGAACTTTTAAAAAATGAAGCCAGATGAAAAGTCCAATCCAAATAACAATCAAAGAGGTCCAATGACAAAGACTTAATATGTAAGCAAACATGTATATCACGTGTATATATGCAATCTTGCAAACACACAACTATACTGACAGCAGCAGAAGACTCATAAGCTCCTCAAGAGCCAATGGCTGAAGGATAGATACAAGGTTCCAGCTAAGCCTACACACATCATAACTCACTAATAGGCATCTTCCAGACGTGATAAGCTGACAAAGTTTTCTCAATCCACCAATAAGAGTGAATGTTGCCACACTAAGGGACCATAAACATGTCATATCATTACTATATAAGGGAGGCCCAAAGCCCATAAATGATAATCTTGACTAATTACTTAAGCTCATCACTAAAACATTAATTTGAGTGTCTTCTATCTCTATCCCAGGCAAGCAGATCTCTCCATCACCAAATCAACCATCTTGCGCGCGTAGCAGCCTTTGGACGAGGCTTAACCGTGTATGATCTGGCCAAATTTCTCTTGGACCGATAAAAACTTTATTCCTCGTAATAACTAAACATTCTAGTTTTTTTTTTTTTTTTTTTAACATACCATTATCCTTATTTTAAGTCAACATGAGTTGTTTACTTTTGCCGCTCAATGTCTACTATAAATGCTTTCCTATTCAGGATTTTTTGTTAGTACATTATTTTTATATTACGTTGCATTATGATTATAATTGCAGTTGCATTAGTTGAATATTTTTCAGTAATTATTTGCAATTTTTGTAATGATAACACAAATGCAATGATGATTGCCATATCATAATTTAAAATCATTGCATTGATTCTTTATTCCAGAGCTACGACCAGCACGTTCGGTATGGATAGTTATAGGTTTTGAAACTGCTTTTGAAAATACCAACATCTAAGACCAACCTCAAGCTGTCAAGCGGAAGTAATTCGAAAGGTGTCTGCTGCACTGTTTTGGTTCCATGATCTCTTGTGAGATAAAACATGCTCTTTGTCGTTCTTATATATCATACATGAGATTAATATTTTTTACGGGATAAATTATCTCCTACACATATAAAAATATGTGAAATCTATATGAGGTCATGTAAAGAGAAGAGAAAAAAAAAACATAGGCCTCTACATTTTTATATGTATATAGGAAATAAAGTTATTTCTCACATAATTATGAGAAACACTAATTCCAATATATATACATATTTATAATTAATTGTTTTAGCAATATCATAAATATTGAAACACATTTTCAAATCTACTGTAATCCGAGTCAATTTTAATTACTTCCTTAAAACACATTTAAGCTATCCCTATATATTAAATTAGAGTCAAATTTTTTTAAGAGTTTAGAACATTCTTCCTTAAAAAATAAAATATGTGATTTTGTTTCAAACAAAAAAATATGTGATTTTTTTCTCTAAAATTATAAATTAAATTCTTTTAATGCTTTTAAGAAGAAAAAAAAAATATTTGGATGTTAAAATAAAAAAGCACTTATTTCTTTGTGTCAGTTTCATCAAACACCCATGAAACACAGTTGAATCTGCCTCAGCCACTCACTTAAGGCATGACTTTGTTCCTTCTTCTCCTCGGCATCCAAGCTCTCCTCCATCTTTGATTCAAGCACCTGTGATTCAAAAGCTCAACACTCCCCCCTGTTGTCATTCTGTTTGTATCTTTCAGGCCAAACATTGGGTTTGGTGTTCCCTTCATTCTCCCGTCACTGTTTCATCACATCAACCATCACCAACCACCTCATCTTCTCTCTCTATATATGTGTGTGAGAGACAGAGACTTTTGTGTGTGAGTTCTGGAGAGCAAGATACTGGAATAGCAGCAGCTTCAGGATCAATATGGCAGCTACCATGTCATCACTAATGTGACCCTTAACCTCACGTTGACAAAAACCATGAAAGAAGATGGAAAGCAACGAAGGAAAGTACGGGACGATAAGTTGCTTTTAACTTCTTCTTTTTTCAAAACTAAGAAATTTTGGCTTTTAAAAAAAATAGGATTTTAACTTTTTCCTTAACTTCTCCTTCTTCTTTTTTAAGTTAGTATTCAAACATAAAAAAATTACAAAAATATTTTTTTCTTTTAAAAAAATGGACTTTTGAAGGAAAAAAAATTCATCCAAACATGCACTTAATTATCCAAAAACAAAGCCAAATTTTACGTTTTGTTTTTTTTCCTACATTATGTTTTTTTAAGAATTTTAATTTTTCTCTAAGCGAGAAATTAATTTTTCAAGATATGATTGCTAAAGACAATAATTTCTTTCAAAAATAATTTTTCTATATATATAGAATTTCGGGCTCATTTGAATGAGCTTTTATTTCTTTTCAAAAGTTTTTTTTCAGAAATAAAAAAAGTACTTATCAAAAAATATCTGTTTGGACGCGTGTTTTTTTTTTTTCAAGCAGAAGTCATAATTAGTTAATTTTTTTAAGTTAAAAATTTTAAATTTAAAAAAAATAGAAGTAAAAAGTTAAATTATTTTTTAAAAAACAATAATTTTTAAAAATATAAATTTAAAAAATATAAAAAATTTAAATTTTATAAAAATTATTTCTAAAATAAATAAGATAAAAAGTAATTTTTTTTTTTTTTGAAAGCCATCCAAAACGGGCTTCACGAAATCAGATCAATGACCATATGCTTAAAGAATTTAAGATCTTTTTATTCAGATCAGCTAGCATACGTTGATTTTTTAAAATTAATATACATTCCTTAAATTTCATACTGGTTGTCAAATATATTCTTGCATAAACTATTTTTCTCTTTCTTTGTTTTTTTTCTTTTTTTTGTTGTGGACTTTTCCCTTTCTTTTTCCCCTTTTATGATTTTTTTTTTTTTTTTTTTTTTTTTGAGCGGGTATGATTTATTCCTTGATTGAACCCTTTTAAATTAATAGTGACAAATTAATATCAGCCAAAAAGCATTACAATCACATACATTTTGCCAGCTGAACCAATGTTAACGCAACACTTGCAACTTGAAAACGATTCAATGAATCGTCACTAACAAATCCTTTTGTGGTTCTCTTTTTCCCACCCTTAATTTGAGGTTACACCTTATAACAAGGACTGACACGTTAAGCTTCATAATTCATTCACATTTTATCTTCTCTTTCAATACTAACTTTCTTCTCTCCATAAAGTAACGTGCAGATCTCACCCAGACACCCACCACCACCATCATCATCAATGGAGGTTAGTTTTCCCAGCAAATTATTTTCTCCTTTTTCTTTTTACTTATCTTCTTCCATTCATCACTCTCCTTTTAATATCCTTTTTCCTTTTTACTTGTCCTCTAGATCTAATAAAAATGAAACGTGATAAGGAAAATATTAAATAAGAGTGCTTAAAAATGAAATTAAAAAAAAAAGAGAGATAGAGTCATGAATCGAACTCAACACGCTTCACCTACACGACATCAAAAGGAATTAAACGACACCGACAGTGACCATGAGTGTCGTTATTATCATCATCGGATCTAATCCTATTCTTTTGTTCCTCCAAACAAAACCACCGACGAAACTCCAGATCCGCGAACGCGGAGGGATCACGTGTCGACACGTATCCGTCACGTGTCAGAATCGAGTTTTCGTTAGTGTGTGCGTGCGTGTGTATAAATATGGGAGTGGGTTTGGGTGTGAAGGTGTCGTTGGGTGTGATCAGTGTGAGTCTGATATTTGCAGTGTTGAAAATGTCGCAGTTATTGGACAAAGCCAAAAACTATGTTGCGGACAAAGTTGCCAACATGCCCAAACCTGAGGCGAGTATCACCGATGTGGATTTCAAGCGCGTGAGCCGCGAGTCCGTCGAGTACTTGGCCAAGGTCTCTGTTTCCAACCCTTATTCCACCTCAATTCCCATCTGTGAGATCAAGTACTCTCTCAAAAGTGCTGGCAGGTTGGTACTTAATTTTCTTCCGTTTCTCTTCTTTGCTCTTTTTTTTTTTTAATTTTAATTTAATTGATGTATTGGATTGTTGATTTTGTTTTCAGTTTTTTGTCTTGTTTGAGGGAATCATCAATCATTGGACATTGATCAATGATAGATTGGGTTGATTTGTAATGGATTTTTAATTTTGTTATGTTGAACGTCGTAAATAATTTAATGGAAACACTTTTAATCAAGTATTTCGGTTTAAATCTCAGATTCTGTTTATATATAATGTCTGAGCCTGCTCATTCTTATTTAATTAATTTTTATATAATTCTTTTAAACTCTTTTAATTAGTTTAAATAATTCTAAATTAACCGGGCAAAATAAAGAAAGAGAAAAAAGAGTGGTAGTAGTTGATTTAGAGTTGATCTAATAGTAATCAAATAGATTTGATTTGTAGTTAAATGGATAATAAGTTATAAACCTAAATTGGTGAAAAATATAACCGGCTTGTATTTTTGTGACCGACCAAAGTATTGTGGCAAATTTTTTATCCAAATATTATGCAAACACAAATTCGCTACGACTGATGGCGAATTACATTCGCCAATAATTTTGTGACAAATGGCACATTTTTTCAAAAAAAACTGACTGGACAAAATTCGTTACTAGTAGTAGCAAATTTGGTACACTATGTGATTATGTGTCATAAAATCATAGGCGAGAGTAATTCGCTATCCGTCGTAGCGAATTATGTCATGTGTCAGTCTGAGTAAAAGGACTGTTCATGAAGTATTTGGATAAAAAATTTGTCAAACTGTTCTTATATTTTTAAATAAGAATTAAGTGAGTAAGTGCCGCAATTAATACACGAGAGTAACTCTGATTGCTCTCTTGATTGCATTAGAGAATTCATGATCTTGCAATGTTGTATGGAAGAGCACTTTTTTCGAAGAATCTCACATTTGCATTCATTTTGTTTTGTGTAAATTACTTCATTGAAAATTGAAATCTTGTAACTAAACTGGTTTCCTACCGGCACATAAATTTTTCTTCTTCTGTGTAAAATTCTAGCAAGAGTAATAACTATATGGAAAAAAAAAAAAAAATTTGATTAAAAATAACCATCTCAACAGATCACAGGAATTAGTCCAATTATTTCACATAAATTTCATTTTGTTTCCTTAAATTTAGGACAAGAATAGGAAGATAAATTTATATAAAAAGACGCGGCACAAAAACTTGCTCCTTCATAAATATTTTAACATCAAAACTCTAGAACTGTGTAGTTAGTAAACAAAGTGCATTTTGGTGTGCCCCTTATATACATGTCTCTGATTTTTGGTTATAAACAAATGTCTACACTTTTACTTTAGATAACAATTTATATGTTGTATTACTTATCTTGTTTATTTGTATTTGGTTTTTGTGTTGGGTGGTGAAAGGGAGATAGCATCAGGGACAATACCAGACCCAGGGTCGTTGAAGGCAAGCGACACAACAATGCTTGATGTGCCGGTGAAGGTGCCTCATAGCATATTGTTGAGCTTGGCAAAGGACATTGGTGCAGATTGGGACATAGACTATCAATTGGATCTTGGCCTAGTCATTGACCTTCCTGTCATTGGCAACTTCACCATTCCTCTTTCTCAAAAGGGGGAGATCAAGCTCCCAACCCTCTCTGACATGTTTGCCTAGCTCAACACAAAGGCTTAGAACAAGAAAATAAAATACACCTTCCATCATATTTTCCTTTTATATCAATTCCAATTCAGTTTTTATTTTCGCCTTTGGTTGTACTATTTGTTCTATATGGATGCTATAAACTATAGTCTATATATGACTATAATATTTCAGATCACAGTTTTGAAAGTAAGTGTTTGTTAGGATTTAGGAAGTTTGGGTTCATATAACTGTATATACTTATGTGCCAACACGCTAACGAAAGGGCTAATTAGAATGACCTTATTACACCCAACACCTTTTTTTTATTTGGAAAATTAAACATGCCTACTTTTTTTTAAGGGTGACAAGCAGATTTAAATTCAAATTATTCGAATTTGTGGTTACTAATCCATTACTAGTAGCTTTTGTAACAGATGCTTTTCTTTTAAAGTGAGAATTGAATATTCAACCTAGACAAATCCTTGACCGCTAAATCATATCTAGTGACTTAAAAGCTTTTTTATATATGCTAATGACACTGATATAAAAAGTATTCAATAGCAATATGATTTATTGTGGTAAAAACTTTTTTCCCGAACTAAAAGATAAAGTGTTATTAATTTGATCAAAGGTTATATTTATAAAAATTTTCGCTTGAAATCTTTATATTTTAATTTTAATTTTTGATTTCTATTAATATAATTTATTGAGTTATATTTATTAATTAATTATTAATTTTAATAAATTATAACTATTTAATTGACGAAAATAAACTATTAAAATTTGATTGTAAGAATTTGTAAGCAAAAAGTTTATAAATATAATATTTTTTTAAAAATAATGTTTTAATAACAATTTCTAGCATCAAATTAGCCATACAATCATATTGTTAAAGGACCAGAACACAAACTAAGAACGTGCCTACATGATTTGTTTACCCATGAAGCATCGATACTTCAAAAAGTTTGATATATTGTGTCCGACACTTCTCGATATTCTAACAATACATATTGCAGAGACTTAAAAAAGGTTCAAAGGTTGCATTGCATTACATTTTTATTTTCAATTATTAAATTTTATTTTTAATTATTAAATTCGTTGAATTACGATTATTATTTTATTGAATTTAATATAAATATTTGAGATTTCTTATGTTTCTATGCAAATTTAATGAAGATTATAAATTTAGCTTATTTTTTTTGTTAAATTATTGAATATTAAATATAATATACATTATATAAATTACAAATATTATTTAATATCAAAACGTATCATAACATATTAAAATTTAATATTTTATAAAATTAATATATGGGAGTTTGGTACCTCATTTTTCATATTGGTGTTCGTGCAAGATAGCGGCTCACGCTCTTCGGTTTAATTTGGTGAAAATTTTATAAAATATAAATTAGTTAAATTTGCAATTGAGAATAAAGGGGATGTAGCTCAGATGGTAGAGCGCTCGCTTAGCATGCGAGAGGTACGGGGATCGATACCCCGCATCTCCAAATAAATTTTTCCATTTTGAGAGCAAGTTAATGACACTGATAAAAAAATTTATGTGAGTATAGTTAAAATTGAGATTTTACCTAAAATCAGAAAGGGAATAAAAAATTGTAAAATCGTAATACAAATCGTAAATTTTACCTACACTCTAAAATTAAATTTTTATATACATATGCTTATGTATAAAAAAATTAAAAAAAATAGACTACCTGCAACCATCCTTATACCTTTGCATACTATTGTCACACTCTAAGGGTCTAAGCTAATAAATTATTCAAGTTATTATCATCGAAGACATTCTGTTCCACGTGATCTTCAACTACATTATTCAAAATTGTCTTCATCTAAACTTTTATCATGAGATAAAGTTTTTTCATTTTCCATTCAAAATTGTCTTCATCTAAACTTTTATCATGAGATAAAGTTTCTTCATTTTCCACAATTCATTTATCTTTGGATGAAATATCAGCAATGTTATATTCAACAATTTTTCTAACTTGCTTAACATCATTCCAATAGTTATTAAAATCATGACTTAAGTAAATGTCTAAATCGAAATTTTATATTGGAAATGATTTTAAGTAAAATCTAAATCGTTTTAGCAAAAACAAATCGTTAAGATCAGAATTTTAAGATTTAAATTCAGATTTTAACTACCATGAATAAATTGACCTCTCAGGCTCTCACCTCCGTATAGGCGAGTTAAGAAAGTATGCAGTTTCTCAATAATAATAATTATTTATTATTATTATTATTGTTATAAGCATCCTTCAAATTTCTTTATGCTTGCAGTTGCAGACCTTGCCTTTATTTTACATGGTTTCTGGTGCTCAATAGATAAGGCTGAGAGACAGAAAAAACACAAAAAGGGTGATGGTAAATTGTTACTGCTTTTGTTATAAAAATAAAATAAAATTGTTACTGCTTTTAATAAGCTCTCTACTCTATAGGGTGTCTTTCTTTATTTTGTTTGACATATATTTTAAAATTAGCTAGTAAGAAAATTAAAATTTTATTTTATTGGCTAGTACACGACCTTGTTATTTTACGGGAGAAATCAACACAGATCATGAAATAAAATTATGCAAATCTACATACATTTGGAGTTGTTATGGACTCCCATATTGGGCATACATTTGATCCAGTCTCTTGGATAGTGCTTTATTTATCCCATGGGTAATTATTTGAGAAAATTTCTTTAAATTAAGAGATCTTTTAAAATTGGTATCTAATAATATAGGGTTACTGCAGATAAATTATTTGTAATAAGTCTAATATGATATCGTTTTGGGACGAAAATCATAGTATTTTTATAATTTTAATTTATTTCAGGATTATAATAGTCTTTATATTTATAATTTTTTAAGATTTCAATATCAAAACAACATCGTTTTAAAAATAAATACAGATAAGTTATCTGTATTAACTGCGGAAATATTTTTCTCAATAATATATGTTCCATAATAATAGGAACAGTAGTATCTCCGAAAAATAAAATTTTTCCACGATGTCTAATGTACGTATCTTCACAATACACTCCATCCTTGATCAGAGTATATTCACTTGAGCATCGAAATTTTCTTCAAGCGCACCATCTCTTGTCCAATAAAATCATTGCCCACTATGGATGGATAAGCACGACCAAAAATATACAAAGAATTACATCATCAACCTTTTATCCTTACATGAACATACATATGTTCCTATGAAAAAAAAAAAAAAAAAACTTTTATTTGATAAACTATATTTATCTTAGCTTTGCCGAGGTATTGCCAATCACATAAGGGAAAAAAATAAAATAAAATAATGCAAATCTAAGATAAAAAGTTAAAAAGAATCAATTTAACCCAAAAATTTGAAGTTTGTAAATAAAAGGACACTAAGAATCGTATTCGTAATATTGTGGTAACCAAAAATATTAAACAACCAGTTCACCTACAAGTTTAAATTTGTAAATGATGAGCGTTCAATAATTTTGTATTATATTTATCTGTAAAGAATTAATTCAATTTAAAAGTTATAATTAAAAATAATTAATAATTTTTATATTTTTCTAAAAAAATAAAAAGTGGTGTTAAACACTTTGGAGCATATGAAAAAAAGTAACCTTTAACTTGATAAACTGTTACTTATTTTAACTTCGTAATATTTTAATTCTAAGTAATTTTCATGATCTTAAAACATAAGACTCGTCAATTTTTTTAATTTTTTTTTTAGCACCGTGTTCATGTCGGTGTGTAGGCCAAACACGGACACTGCCACCTGAAAAAAAGTTGCGTGTCATAATTATTTTTCGCCACAATTAACAATACTGCACGTATAACACAATGTGGCTTAAATATAAATTCTTCATTAATAATAGATAAAATTATTTGATTTTAAATGATATAATATGTTATTTTAGATGAAATAATATTATTTTAATATATTTAATAATTTTTTATTTTTTCTATAAATTAGAAAATAAAAATAAAAGAACTAATTATACAACAAAACGGTATTAAATATCACAATATTATATCATGGGAAGGATATTGTAACAACCAAGTTGTGTTACTATCAAGTAACTACCAATCAATCTCACTGTTAGATCGATTATGTTGATCCAACGGTTATATTTATTTTTATTTTTGTATGGTCATGATTATCCAAATTTAATACTTTATATTTATTTTCACCTTTGTATGGTTATGATGGAAATAAATATAACCGTCGGATCAACACAATCGATCTAACGGTGAAATTGATTGATAGTCACTTGGTAGTAACACAACTTGGTTGTCACAATATCATTCCCCGTATATCATTTGTCATTTAATAAATGACAAATAATTTTCCCTTTATTATTATTATTTTTGAAAAATAGCAGTGCAAGGAAAACGCAGAGATAGATTCGAAGGTGAGATCTAGGAGAAATTGCAGTGGGTGCAGCTTCACCGAATCATAGATTCAACAACAACAACTATAACAATTCAAATATCTTCATTATACTCATATTTGGTGATTGATTTGAATCATGTGGGGCACCATTGCCAATTTGAAGGAGAACTTGAACAAGATCGCCCTCGATGTTCACTACGCCGACGACGAAGACGACAACGACGTCGTTCTACCCTTTTACCGAAGCCGTGCCGACGGCGACAACTCCGCCGTCTCCGATCGCCGGAATTCTCACAGCTTTGCGCATTCCCAATCGGTTCATAGTTCGCCGGCGGCGAACGGAATAACAGATCCTCCCTGTGCTTCTGAGGTATGTTATCCTGAAATTCGGGACAAGGTTGTGGTGATGTTCGTTTTTTTTTTTTTTAAATTAAATTTTCCGATACGATAATGGAAAGTGGCGTGGATTATGATTATGAATGCTTAATAAATGATTATGTGTAACTATGAATGGTTAGTGAGTTCAGGAAAGTTCTGTAAGTATTGGGTGGAAGAGGTTTCAGATTTGAATAGAGATTGAAAGCAGAGTAACAAATCATTGGGTTTAATTTATGATTGGTGTTAGTGAACCCTATGTGTGATATCTTGTAGTTAATTTAAAATTAGAAACAACTCCATGTTAAAACAATTCGCTCCATTAATGTTAGTTTCTTAATGTTAGTTTCACATGCTAAATTCCTCACATTTCTCACATATGCTGAGGGGTAGAGAAATTTTGTTGGCTTCGTGTTTCACTAGTCTCACCAACAAAATTTCTCCATCTCAGCATGCATGGAAGTATGTGAGAAATTCTGTATGTGCAACTAACATTTCTATATGTTGCCATGTATAGGGCTCAACTTGAATTTGAATCTGTAGTAACAACCATTAATTTATACACCACGTGGTTCTGTCTCTGTTCCTATTTATATGATTTCATGTCTTCTGGTAATGATAGTTAACTTTTGCTTAGTTTTTATTTATGGGAAAAGTGTTTCTCGTGGCACTAGGAGACAAAGTTATTTTCAGCAACCCCAAAACAACGTCGTTTTGGGGTTTAGTAATAAAAATAATGGTATTTTAGTAATTTCACTTTATTTTTATATCATGTATTTTACTAAAATATCTGCATTTTTTTTCAAATTCCAAAACAACGTCATTTTGGGGTTGCTGGAGAAAAGTTAATCCCTTTATTTATGTATATATTGGCGACACTTTTTGTTGTCTGTTATCCTAAGTTTTATTAAGCTGGTTTTGTTCATTATAAGGATGGTATGGTTTTGCTTCCAATGTCAATGTAGTGTGGTGAGTGGCTCTGGATACATAGTATCTAGGATCCTATGAATCCGACTGGTATATTATATAATACATATAGCCTCTGGGTTGCTTGTACTTTCAAAGGAGTACATGTTCTCCCCTGTTTTGCCTTAAATTTATATCTTTACCCAGAAAAATAGTTTTCCTTGTACCAACATCCTGGAAGTAAAATTTTACTTTTTAATTTCTCCTTAACATTCTCATTCTTCCACATAAAAATTAGCACTTGCTTGTGTGTATTTAGAGAAATTATTTTTTTACCAAATGCATGAAATTGTAATGTATTCAGGGGTTATGCCTTATATTTTCCCCTTGAATCCACTAGTTGAATATACTATGTAGGTTGTTTAAAGATGTCAATTTTAATTTTGTTGTATTTCTTGTAGATAGAACAATACAAAGCAGAAATCAAGAGACTTCAAGCATCCGAGGCAGAAATTAAAGCACTATCAGTCAATTATGCAGCTTTATTAAAAGAAAAAGAGGTATGGCTGGTTATTACTTTTCTGCATATATGTACCAGAAATATATCAAAATTTCTTCTATCGTTTCTTATGTTGGAGCGACTTCATGTTCAATACATTAACTTGTAATGAATGATCTTATTACATTAGCTGGGATTTTTCTCTTACTTCCTTAAAGAACTACAGTTGGTTCTATGTAGCTTTTGCTTTTGAAATCTTTATGGACCTTACATTTTTTTCTAAACAACAAAAATCAATCCTTATTCCACTAGTTGGGTTTGCTAAATGCATCAATTGATGTCACTTGGCTCTATTACCAACCAAAGTTTTAGGAAGACCATTATAGATCTTTTTTAACGGTCTCTCCAAATGTTTTCTTTGGTGTTCCTCTACATTTCATCAGATTATCTTTCATTTGATCCACTTTTCTCACTTGATACACTATTGGTGTTCCTATCACGTGATCACACACACCTCAGGAAAATTCCCATCATCTTCTCCTCAGAAGGTGCTACTCCAACTTTCTCTCGGATAATGTCATTCCTATTTCCTAAATCTTGTGTGTCCACTTGTCCACCTCATTCTCATCTCCACTACACTATTTTTTTGCTCCTATTAACAGTTCACTGATCAACATCACTGCCACAGAGCATTGGTGGTGTTATTTCTATCACTAAATTTTCTTTGAGTTTTTATAGGAACTTTTTGTCCACAAATTACGATTGAACATTTGTGAATTCTGTCTACCCAACTTGAATCCTATGTGTGACATCCCCATCAATCTTTTTCCCATCACATTGTGAGATAGATCCAAGGTACACTTGTAAACTACACAACTAGTGGTAATCCCCGATTTGGACCTTATAGTGTGTTTGTTAAAAATAAGGTGAACTCAGCTGTAATGTGTAATTTGAAGAATAAATATATCTATATATTCGGAATTTGATGCCTCTTTCTAATGGTCTGATCTGTTCTCCCTTCTGTCCAAACAAAATGTTTTTTCATTTTCTTGAATATATTATAAGAATATATTTCCTTATGTGATCTATCTCAGGTGAATATTTCATAAACAGTCAATTAATAATTTGTCCAACGTATTGATTCAAGTTTTTCATTACTGTGCTTTGTTAAGTTTAACTATCCAACCATTTTAACTTCACAGGATCAGATTGGTAGATTGAATAAAGAAAATGGCTCATTAAAACAGAATATGGAGGCTACAAGTACAGCATCTACAAATGGCACGTATACAATCAAGGTAATCTTATATTCTAATTCAAACTTCATTGTGAAGAATTTAATGTATGTTATAAATTTTTAACCTGTACGGTAAGTCCTCCAATACATTTAATGTCTTGTATTTCATGATTCTCGTATGAAATTTAAATAATGATGAGGATGAGTGGTGCCATAGGCATTGTCGTGTCTTTGTTATACCTATATGGCTTTTCAAAACTTATGTTTCACATTTTCTGGTTGGAAAAAATTCAATTACCTTTTAATCTCTGTTAATCAGTTGGTTATCAATTTTGACTCTTGATGCATAGGTAGGCCATACTTTACTGCTCTTATAGTTGTACAGGAAATTAATTTGAGTGTCTAATACCGATACTTCTCATTATATGGATAAGGTGTTCCTTGAACTATAGGAGGGCATGTAATATAACTATAAAGCACGTTAAAATGGTCTTTTGTCAATAAATTATTTGCTTTTATTTTGTTATTTGTTTACAAAGTTAATATGGGTTTGGGTCCTTATGCATGTGATTTTTAATTCGATCCCAAGATGTGTATGGAAAAAATACCGTTGGGAAGAGTCTTTGACTTTGGTGTTTGACTGTACCTAAGGAGATCAGTCTCTCACTTACTGAGTGAGGGGATACTATGGGAAACCAAAAAAAAAAAAAGTTTAATATTTTATCAGTAATTTTTTTTCTAGATTGATTGGATGATTTGAAATAAAACTTTTGGCATTTTTATTGGGAAGCAGGTTTGTCCAGTTGCCTTGGATCACTTTCATTACAATCATTTTGGATGATTCAGGGGAAGAAAAGGGTAGAAAGACTTTTTTAGAGTGTGTTATTTACGCTGTTCTGTGATGCATTTGAGTGTAAATCTTAAAGTCTTCATCTAGAAATTTACTCTTATGACCTTTTCGTATAGGATTATCATTGTGGCTTCTATGCATGGTGAAGCCAACAACAGTTATCTACTTATCTTACAGGTGTCTTTTTGTAGAAAATCACAGGAAATCAGGGACTAGATAGCTCCTCTGCTGTTTCTTAAGATATATATATATATATATTTTTTTTTTTTTTTTTTTTTTGAGGTTACAAGGAATTGAACACAACACCCTACACTACACACACTCCTAACACACACACCCCACACCACTAGGCTAACCCTAGTGGTGCTTAAGATATATATTTTACTTATTCAGCCCACATAATTAGATCAATGTAATTAATAAGTAATTTGAATTCTTCTGACCAATTGGACTCTATTTATAAATCAGGATTGGATGAAAAGGCATAATACCTATTTGTATTGTAACTGTATTTTTCTCTGTTTTATTTTTCTATTAAAAAAATGCCTTGATCTGAATATCCTTTTCAAAAACTTGGTTTTTGACAGCACACAAATGATGTTGTTTGATCTGTGTAGCCGACCCCACCTAGTAAGACAAGGCTTTTGTTTTGTTTTTGTTTTTATTTTTTTGTTATGGTGGATCCTTTTTTTTCTCTCTCTCTGTCTTAATGAGCTGTTGTTTATCAAAAAAAATAATAACGGTAAGGAGATCTATGTGAAGGTTTGGGCAGTGTGGGGGAAGGAGCGGTCTTGTAGTAATAATAGTTAAAGGGAACATGGTGGAAATGACCTGTTCTCATTTTGTGTGCTAGATGCTTCATTCATGTGAGAAAAAAAACTGATTTCTATAATTTATGTTCTCTCTCGCATTGGATTACTCATTATTTATATTAGGCTTGTGAAAGTATATGAATGCTATATTCTGTTATAATATAGTTGGAAGTACATTGCTGAATGTCTTTTGTTCCTGACAGAGTACTAAGAAATCTTATTGATTACTTCTGAATATTCGTGCAGGGAAATAGTGACCAATCATTGAATCGGCAGCATAGGTTCACAACTCAAATGAAAAATCATTATGCTATAAACAATGGAACCATCTCTGCTTTGGAATCAGGTGCTATTCAAAGTAAGATGGTATCTAAACATTCAAACTTACAAGTAAAGGACAAGGTAACACAGCTTAGATTTTTGGTTATTCTTAAATAATGAACCAACATAGGAAGATTTCCCATTAGGTGGTATTCATTTATATTCCTTGCCTCTGTTGGAATTTGATCAAGTATTTTTTTTTTATCCTATGTCTGTGTTCATTTTTCATGGAGTGTTCAGCATGCTGTGTACCTTTATTTTTTTCCTTAAAAAAAAATGGAAGTAGCTTTTAATTTGGTTTTTCTATTTCTTTATAATGTGAAAACTTTTCTTTGTCTGGCAATTTTGATTTAGACATTCTGATAGGACTTACATTTTTATTTTTAGTGATGAGTGATCTTGACAACAGATGTATGAATGCCTTCTAGGAGCAAGCAGATTTGGTAGAGGGAAAAAATAGCCCCACAGCAGCAGTACAACATGCTCATGAGATACAAAAATTGAAGTTGCAACTCGAGCAAGAACGTGATAAATTGGCAAAAACTCAGCTAAAATTTCAGGGTCTGTCTTCTGCATTTGGAATATGTAGATTGTATCTTCATTTTCTATGTTCAAACAGAAACTGCTAATAATTTGGTTCTTTCTTCAATGTCAGAGGAACAGAAATTGAACAAGTCTTTCCAGGAGGAGCTTAAATTATTACAGTTGGAAAGAGACAAAGTGAGTTTCTATAAGCATCATGGCTGCAACACCTTTCCTTTATTACCCTCGGGTTTATTTTTTACAATTTAAGAGAGCTATTGACATAAAGCAACAGCTGTGCATTATAAAATGAGTGTTATATTTCTCTGAGATGTCTTTTTGACTTGTGGTATTTTATACTTGTATCATTGTCTTATTTCCATTAAGTTGGTCCATTAAATACATAACATGCCATGATAGTATAAAACAAACAATCAAAAGCATTTATATTCAGGAAATTGTGTCTCGTGTAGGAATACTCTTTCAAATTATTGCTTTTTGTTTGTTTTACTGTTATAGGATTCATTATAAGATATTGCTCACTAGATATTGTCTTTTGATTGTATATGGAGTATTAAATAAGTTGATATTATATCAAGAGAAATTGAGAAAAGCATGCCGAAAATCAAAGAATGGTTTGCTAAATGGAAGCAAATGAAGGTATATAGTTGGGAAGAAACATATTGCCTGGATTCGTTAGTACTATAGTACTAGAAACTAAAAGAGAACATGGGATAGCTTTTTCCAATGCTTCAAAATCTCCATATCACTATTTCTTCAGATAATATCTTTTAAACCTGAGAAGGAATAACCTGACCAATTTCTGGTTTACATTAACAACTTCTATTGTATCATTCAGTAATAGATCACATCTTTTCGAAGGAATCTGGATGCTGATTTTGTTGTGCTGTTTCACAATGTGATGATCTTGGTTATTATAGTTTTTGGTTATCTAACTCATACGTATATTGTATTATTGCTTGGAAGACAACAAATGAGATGAGCAAATTACACAATGAATTGAATGAGAAAGTATCAGAAATAAAACGTCTGCAATTGGAGTTAACTAGACAGGAGGATGAAGAAGTGGGTGATACTGTGGATAGCTTGAAAAGGCTAATCGAAACTGTAGAGAAGGAAAATATGACTCTTAAGGTTGGTGAAGTTATGCATTACTTTATTCCATTGTAATACAAAATTTTTCTACCACCTCGTCACTCAAAACTTGATAATGATTGTTTTTCTAATATTGTCATCCATTGTTATTAGATTGAAAAGAAAGAACTTGAGGCTACGCTCAAAGCAAGTAGGATGTCTTTCACTGGTAAAATGTCGCCTGATGCTTCTCAGATTCAGAACAAGGAGTCAGGCAGTATCAGTGATGTGAGCCAAAACTTTATAGCAATATTTACTTTACAGGTTGTGCATTAAGAATCATGTTAATAATTGTTGTCTTCTTTTCTTCTCTTTTCTGGGGATTGGGGAATTGGCTTTTGGTAACAGTTGTCAGATCCTTTCAAAAGTTTTCCAGGGAAAGAAGAAATGGAAAGATCCTTACAAAAGCTGAGTAAAGATTTGAAGGACACACAGCAGGAGAAGGACAGAGCAGTACAACAATTGACCCGCCTTAAACAGCATTTGTTAGAAAAGGTTTCGTTCTATTTACTTTAGTTTTTGAAGCAGAATCAATGATGACTGAGCATGATATTCAAAAGACAAACAATATATCTATTATCCTAATTTTTTTATTGTGTTTATCTCATAAATTATTTTTTCCCACATATACAGTTATTTGGTGTTTTGTCCCCTTAATTGTCTATCAAGTGTCAATGAACTACAATTGCATACATCCCAGATGAATTTGGTATGTCAACCTTTCTGCAGTTGACTCAAAGATGTTCTTGCTGCTTTTTGTCTAGGAATCTGAAGAATCAGAAAAAATGGATGAGGATAGCAAAATCATTGAAGAACTACGCGATAGCAATAATTATTTACGTGCTCAAATATCACATCTTGAGAGAACTCTGAAGCAGGCAACTGCAAGTCAGGAGAAACTGAAGATGGAAAACAATAACGAAATTCTAAAGTCCAGGGAAATCATTGATGACCTGAACAAGAAGCTTACAAACTGTATGAGCACAATAGATGCTAAGAATATTGAACTTTTAAATCTACAGACAGCTCTTGGACAGTATTATGCTGAAATCGAAGCTAAGGTTGTTTTGTAATTTTTTTTACTCTCAAATTAACTGACATTAATGGAGTTGTTAACTTTCCCTATCACTTTACTTATTCTGTCAATATCTTTATATGAGTTTGTTTGTCTACTGTTGCATGGAGTAAGCTTATATCCACCATAAATTTGTTTTCTCAAGGAACATATAGATGGAGAGTTGGCTCGTGCAAGGGAAGAAACAGCTAAGCTTTCTCAACAGTTGAAAGTATGAATCCCTCTCTCACTGTTTCTAAATACAATATGTAGACAACTTCTACTTTATTTTCAATTTTAACTGGACAGCATTGGATCCTTTATGCTGATTGTAACACAAAAAAATATGATGATCTTAGCTGATCACGAGTCCTGGTCTGTGTTCATTTGATCTTGAGCATGACTTTGGTAGAAACCTGGTAGAGTAGGACATTGTGGTACCTTATGGGCTTCCCTACAAGACTATGGATCAGAGCTAGGTGGGAATTGATTCAGAAAGAAGTGTATTTTTCGTTGCACAGTTTCATCCTTGTGGGGAATGGAGAATTATACCTGAGAAGTGGTAAGATAATTTGGCATCATTTTGGCTTGGTTGAGGCTAATTTCAAAACGATGATAGAAAACAATAGGTGAGCATGGAGAGCACCTGCTGCTAATGGTTATCAAAAGAGAGGGAGGATGCACCTAAGGGAAAGCTCTAATTCAAACATACTGCCTGTGGGCGTGGAGAACACTTCTATATCCATAAAAGGAATGTTTTTGTTGATAAAGGGGACCTCTCTCTAGATTATTGACTGTGTTCATGAATGCTTTACTTTGTTGTAAACTACCAAATTCAATCTATATATGGATCAATTGAACTAGGGTAGTGCCATTCTACCTTGTCACATAAGGCTGAGGATTTATGTTTAGTTGATGATCATGGCCATGAGCTTTTGGGGTGGGTTTGTGAAACAGTTAATTTAATTAGATACAACTTAATTGGACTATGGTTTGGGATAATTCAATTGGCGAGGGAGCTTAGTTTCAAAGTGTTCCTATCATTTTATATTGAATCTGTATTGGATTTTGTTAGCTTGTAACGGAACATTAAGTTATTTTCCTATCGCGGTAGGTGTACACCAAGGGTCGGTTCTAAGTCCTTATTTTTTTGCCTTAGTTATGAATGAACTAACAAAAGATATTCAAGAGGAAGTGTCATGGTGTATGCTTTTTGCAGACGATATTGTGCTTATTGATGAGAGCGAGGAGGGTGTTAATAGAAAACTTGAATTGTGGAGAAGCACATTGGAATCCAAAGGATTCACATTAAGTCGAAGCAAGACTGAGTATCTGAAGTGTGAGTTTTCTCTGGTACGAGATGGGGACCAAGAGCCCGTGCATTTAAGTGGTCAAGAGGTACCCAAAAAAGATGCTTTTAAATACTTGGGCTCCATATTACAAAAAGGTGGAGAGATTGATGAGGATGTAAATCACAGAATCAGAGCAGGGTGGATGAAATGGCGCAGTGCATCTGGATTTTTGTGTGACCACAAAATCCCTCTTAAGTTAAAAGGAAAATTCTATAAAACGGCAGTAAGACCGGCAATGCTATATGGCGCAGAATGCTGGCCAGCACATAGGCAACATGAGCATAAGATGGGAGTCGCAGAGATGAGGATGTTAAGGTGGATGTGTGGTTACACAAGGATGGATAAGATAAGAAATGAAAATATTCGACGAAAGGTCGGAGTAGTACCAGTAGACGAGAAGATGAGAGAACATAGATTGAGGTGGTTTGGACACGTGATGAGAAGGCCTCTGGATGCTCCTGTAAGAATAGAAGTTTGTTACCAAAAGCTCAACACAAAAAAAGGCAGAGGTAGGCCGAAACTTACTTGGGAGAAGGTGGTAAAACAAGATTTAATGGAGTGGGATATAGATTGGCGGACGGTTTGTCTTAGAACAGAATGGAGAAAAGCTATAAATATGGTAGAGGGTTAGACCCGTTGTTATTCCTATGTTCCAGATGGTCCTTTTTTAGTCTTTTTCCCCTTCATCTCCCCCACTTCTTCTTGTCCCTTTCTTTTTTACTTTTATTTTATTTATATATACATATCTATATACATATATATTTTATTTTATTTTATTTTATTTTATTTTATTTTATTTTTTCAACTGTTTTGTATCTTTCATGTGGGTTTATCTACCACCGACCCCAATTAATTTGGGATAAAGGTGATGTTGATGTTGCTGATGTTGTATTCTACTCTTTAAACTTACTTTTTCTTATTTCTTATTGAATCTTGTATTAAATTTTGCTCAAGTATATTGATATAGTATTTTGTTTTTCTCACTGAAAAGTATAAGAAGTTTCGTGGTTTGATTAAATTGTTATGCTATTGCCAGGATGCAGATTGCAGAGCAGATGTATTGAGGGGTGAAAAAGAAGAAATTTTAGCCAAGCTTTCTCAATCTGAAAAGGTGCAATCAGAATGGAGAAGTAGAGTAGGCAAGCTTGAGGAAGACAATGCCAGATTGAGGCGAGCTCTTGAACAGAGTATGACACGGCTAAATAGAATGTCAGTGGATTCTGATTTTCTTGTTGACAGGTTGGCATATTTTTCATCAAAGTATGTTTTCATGCAATATTAGCTTGGCCATGTGATCTGGGAGCTACCTGTATTTCTAGCCGATTGGATTCGAACAGAGATGTTATCCATGAAGGGACTATTGTCTACATTTTTTTGCACCTATCATTAATTTCATGAAAAGTTTATAATTGGAGTCATAGAAGTATGAATGTGGGTTAAATTTAGATTTTAGACTTGGAAGTCTTTTTTATCATTTTGTTGCCGCCATTTGAGAGAATAAATTAGTTAACTAATTTGATTGTATCTTTGACAGGCGCATTGTGATAAAATTACTTATAACTTATTTCCAGAGAAATCACAGCAAAGAGGTATGGAGGTCTTCTAATTGTGGTTGCTTTAGATGCATCATGCGGGACTGGAAACCCTTGCCTTTATTTTGCATGTAATAATCATTACTTTTTGTGTGTCTGCGGGTGGGCATAGGAGAAAGAGTGGGGAAGGATTCATGGACTTATTTTTTATACTATTTGCTGAGTTAGTTTATTATTGCTATTTTGTCCAAGTAAATTAGTATATAGTTAGATTCATGAGGAGGTCAATAGGATAATCATGCTAGGATATGGTTGGAAGAATTTTCAGTGTGTATTGATGTTTTAAGACCCTGTTAAGTATTAACCGCAGAAGGTTATAAAATTATGTTCTCCACTTGCATTTGTTTACTCCTCTCAGTATGTTACGATTCCTTTCCTTCTTAACTTGTTCTGTCAATGTTGTGTTCTTTTATCTGGTTTGTCTGATGTTTTGTTCAAATTGGTCTTGCTCATAATGTTTTGTGATATTGGGGACAGGTTTTGGATCTAATGGTTCGTATGCTGGGATTCTCTAATGAGGACAAGCAAAGGATAGGTGTTGCTCAACAAGGTCCAGGAAAAGGTGTTGTCCGTGGTGTTCTTCGGTTGCCCGGCCGCCTCGTTGGAGGTATCTTGGGAGGAAGTTCAGCAGAATCAGCTGCAAATGTGGGATCTGATAACCAGGTGAGATTTCTCCTCATCTGGTATTCCACTTACCCCTTTGGTGCATGCGTTTGTTTTTCTTCTGGGTTTACAAAGTACTAAAGAAAAATATTGAGGGTGTGGTTTTACTTTCCCTTTTTTATTTTATGGCCACTGGTGAGAAGGGGGATAAAAATTGTTTTATTTTGAAAGAAGTGTCAAAACTTAATGCTGAAAACTAGTTTTTGTTTCTTTACACGGAACACATTCCATGTTCATGCTAGCAGATACCATATATATGTCGTTCCTTAAGTCTGACATCTACAGAAAGAATCTTTTACAAATGCTGCACTGTATATTGATCTTGTCACATTTAAGTCAATCAACTATGATGAGTTTTCCATATCACGAATTTAGATTTCAATAAGTTCTTTTCTCCTTTCAGTCCTTTGCAGATATGTGGGTTGATTTTCTTCTCAAGGAAACAGAAGAGAGAGAGAAGAGGGAGTCAGATGGAAGTACAAGTAAATCCATGGATGATTCACACGATAAAAGTCCAAATAGTAGTTCTGCTTCTCCACCATTTTCAAATCAGAGGTTTAGCCCTCTTACAGCAACAATTAATCCACCCACTAATCAGAATAGTCCTCTTCCTCGTGGATATTTTCAACATTCTGAACAAGTTGGTTCTGAGTTCTTAACGGTTCCTCTTTCACCATCACCATCAGATAACAAAACTACTAGTTCAAAACTTCTTCCCAGATACTAATATACATTTTTTTTTATGTAAATTAATCAAAGGTATAAATCATTGTTAGATAATAGATTATAGTCATCAATTAATTCTTTCACATTAATGAGTGTATTTTATTCACACAAGTGTAACAATTTTTGTTTCATTGCCTTCGTCATCTCGTGTGGATATCATTACATATTTTGAAACTTTAGAACATTATCGTGGTGTTTATGTCATATAATATCCACTCATCTCTTTAATGTGTGTATAAAATACAGATTAAACGGTTTGCTGTTATGGAGACATTTCAGGTGAGAAAGATGTGTAATTGTGAAAGATGAGAATAGTGAATAACAACCCTTGAATGAAAAAGAACAATTCAACTATTTTTCAGCACGAGAAATAGATTAAGCTAAAAGCATCCATTAAGTTTTGGGGAAGAATCAAGTCAGTCGACCCAGCTCTTAAGCAAAATATAAAAATGTAAAGCTGAACCTTTTTTTTTTTTTTTTAACACAACGAAACCCGATAACAATAAAAATGGTGAAAACTTAGGATGAATAATAAATAGAAAGAATATCCATAAGCCCAATTAGAAATACTCTCTGTGTTAGCCGACAATGACAAACTTATCACCTATGAAGCATCGACATTTCAAAATCTCTAACATGTCGTGTCCGACACTCACCGACACTTCCCGACACTCCAATACTTGTTGCACAGATTCAAAAAAGGTTCAAAGATTATATTGCGTTGCATTTATGAGTTTCAATTATTAGATTCGTTGGATTACGATTATTATTTTATTGAGTTTAATATAAACATTTGGCATATCTTATTTTTCTTTGCAAAATTGATGGAAATTATAAGTTTAGCTTTATTTTTTTGTTAAATTATTGAATATTAAATATAATATATACTACATAAATTAAAAACATTATATAATATCAAAAGTTGTCCTAACATGTCAAAATTTAACATTTTTTAGAATTAACTTGTCAGAGTATCATGTCATGTCATATCCCGTGTCGGTGCATCATAGTTTATCCCATTGGTTTCCACGACGACAGCAAAGTTGTTATCCATTCAACTAAGCTTCAAACAGGGAAGACCCCAGTTATTGTCTTATGGGCCGCTGATTAAAATCAATGTCGACCACAGGTAGTATTTCAATGGTCCTTTTTCTCTGCCTATATTGAGGTTCGGCCCAACAGCTATTGTCTTGGGTGGAAAAGACCCAGAGAAATTGCCAGTGATGGTCAAATTCATTGTATGGAGAAATTGAGGAGTTCTTATTCTTATCTCTAATAATTTTGATTGTTTTTGCAAACTTAAAGTCAATTGCAGTTATTGAACGGAGTTAGTGATTAGAGCGGAGAAAATTGAAGTCACAATAGACAATGAAAGAAGTAGTACTACCACGAGAATTTGTAAAACAGATAAATTTCACTGACATTTGATATTAATATTTACCGGCATACACTATCACGTGATATAATGCATGTTTGATAAAATGCTCATTAACTCCAAAATAAACTAATCCGATGAGAAGTACGTGATCTATTCATCAATAGTTTGATGTGCTGCTTCTTTTATTGAGTTATTTCCATCGGATTGATCGAGTTCTAGAGTTTCTTTTTAAAATTTCATCGAGTCTCTATATACAAGAAGTATATGAACTCAGCACCTAAACACATGCATGGTAACAAGTGTCTTGTATAATAAATCACCAATCGGAAGATTACTACAAATCATCAACGAACATTTGCCCCCAAGACAAGTTCACATCACACCTATAACACTTTTAGCCAAAGGAAAAAAAGAAAAAAGTTAAAAAAAGTATGCGAGTACTTTTATCTTGCAGTAACTATTATTGATTGAACAACTCTAATAAACATACACAAGCCAGTAAAATCCATATGCTTGCATATGGTTAGAAACTACTGTTTGAACCATTGCCAATTTGCCATTGACACCATTACAGCATAAAACCAACTCAAACAATAAAGATTGGTATTTGATAAAAGAAACAGGGCGCTGGCAACTTCCATAAATAAAAAAAGTGGAGCTCTTTTTCTTTCTGAAGTTACAAAGACTTGCTCACTACGCTAACTTCTTGTCTTTCAATGGACCCCTTGGGATCTTACTCAAGACCTTAGCATTAAACACAGCATACTGCTTTTTAATCTCAATGACTGCCTTCTCTGCAAATGGGTCTATCTTATCCTCGTACTTCTCATATACCACCGGTACAGTGTGCAACAAAATAAAAGCTGCTCATGAAATCAAGATTATGCAAATCAATAAAAAAAAATTTAAAAAGAATGTAATTAAAAGGAGTATTAGTTATTCTTACTTATGTATAACAAGGTCAAGAAATTGCTCCAGTTCCCCACAATTGATAGAATCCATAAGCCAGCAGTAACCTAACATAACACACAAACAGAATCCTCAACAAAATTCATAATATTATAAGAACAGAGTAGTTCTTAATGGATGTTGAACACAAACACTAAATTAGGCATCCATTTATCCATTTAAGTGCAGCAGCTTATTAGACCCTAAGAAAAGGCATCGTCTTTGGATGTTATAAGTAATAATTAGTCCAAAGACTTTATAAAGATGATTACTTATGAGAAAAAAAATAATTTAATATGAACGTAAAGAGAAGAAGCTACAAAGTTACATACGATTAGGAATTTCTTTAAATCTCTTCCAGAACCAATATCACGCAAAACTGCAAACCCATGGTTGATTTCAATTCTCAAAGCAGACGCAACTTGCAGGAATGGCTCCTCAGGAAGATGAACTTCGGGTATACGAGGTGGAGTTCTACAATATCATTTGATATTCCATGCAAATGGTTAGATAAGGCAAAGCCTATCTATTCAATAGACTAAGAATTTCCACAGGCTTACTTGTGGATTAAAGTATGGGCATTGGACCACAAGAACAAAACCACGAGCAATAGTATTAAAATGTGACAGACTAGAGTAAGAAAGTGATATTCAAGCAACTCAAAAAGGACCCAAACAGCAGTTACTCCGCCAAGTACAAAAGCAGATATTTTCTTGTTCCTCCACAATAATACGTCAGCAGCTGCAAAAGATGATTACCAAAAAGAGCCATAAGATGACAGCACAGAAAGTGCAACTTGTTTTGTTTTGTATAACTACATAAAGTGCATACAATTCTCCATTTGATGACGTTCTCATCAAATAGCTCCTCAACTATTTATTTAGAATCCCCATTTTCATTGATATATTATAGTATGGGACACTTGTCAAATTCATAATATAAAGAAAATAAAAAAAATCTCAAACTCAATATATGTTATTTTTTATCATTCAAAACCATGCCTTTACACTTTACTAACTGAATTTGTCTCCTCCAGAATTAAAGAATACCTGAAAATGAAACATATAATAAATAATAAACTAGAAACAGAGTAAGATGGCAAAGACAAACAATGGCAAAATAAAAACATAAAAAAAAAAAAAAAAATTCAATTTTGAGTAAATCCCATGATTTTCAGGAACCATAAAGCGAAAAACAAGCTACAAATTGATTATTTTTAACAAAATGAGAAATTCAAATGTTCACTTTCTCAGTAACTCTTGATCAGTGATAAACCACACGGGGCAAAGCCAAGTCACTTTTTTTTTTCCTAGCCCATTATTTTTTCCCATTCCAATAGTCTTATCAATGACATTCCCCCATTGAATCCGTTCACAACATCAAAAACTCGCCAAATCAACAAAAAAAAAGGAAACAAAACAGAGAGAGAGAGAGAAAGATACGCTTTCCAGCGCCCAACACGGAATGAAGGGGCTTTTCCCTTCCGAAAAGGCGAAACACTTTATCCTTGACGGATGAAGTGACAGTTTTTTCGGAATCGGAATCGGAAGAAGAGGATGAATCATGACCGTGAAGCTTATCGCTTATTTTTTCCATCAATGATTCGCCGCCGGTCGTCACAGTGCTCTCCGATTCCTCCGCCATTGACCACCAAAATTCTCAGATCCGAAAAAACCCTAACCCTAATGCTTCGATATCGGTGTGTGCAGATACAAAAATGGAAGCTCTATCTTTCAGTGTGCAAAGACTGTGAATCTCAGTGCACGTTTTTATATGTGTCGCGTTTAACCAGGTTCGGGTATCCGAAGCTGAGGCTCGGAGGAGATTCTGAAATTTGGGAATGACGTCGTTTTTGAATCTCGAGGCTTTGCCGTTGCATTGACGGCGCTTGTTCAGAAGGTTACGGGAACATTAAAGAATCTATATTTTTTGAGTAATTAGAATTTAGAGGTGAAGAACCGATGATGTATTAAAAGTGCACGTTTCATTCTAACAAAATTAATTACATTGTTTTGGATTGAAAAAAATTAATGGAGAATATTTTAAAAAGATTATTTATCTTTTTATATAAATTTTATAAAACATTTTTTATTAATTTATTGGATCATATTTATTAATTAATTATTATTTTTAATAAATTATAACCGTTAGATTGACGGAAATCAACAGTAATTAAGTTAGTTGTAAAGGTTGTAAACTTTTTTTGTGGTAAATATATCCTGCCCTAATAGGTAATATATATATATATATATATATATATATATATATATATGAGACATGATCAACTTACATCAGTGTAAGAGTAATAATTTTTACACTCAATCTTAACCGTTGATTTCCGTTCATCAAACGAATGTAATTAATTAGATTATTCTCATTAATTAATTATTAATTATAACCGTTAGATATGTGAAAATCAACGGTTAAGATTGATTGTAAGAGTTATTACTCTTGCACCGGTGTAAGAAGATCCTGCCTATATATATATATATATATATATATATATATATATATATAGCAAAATGATTTCTGCAGCTGCTGTACCTACAGCAAGCAAGGATACACGTCCGAATCCTAGGATACGGCAACGGATCCTGAGTTTTTTTTTTTTTTTTTTTAAAAAGTCGTGGGGCCCACTTTTCTGTGCCAACTGTAGATAACACTATTTACGGCTGCTGCAGAAATGTTAAGCCCTATATATATATATATATAAATATATATATATATATATATGGGTCAAGATCATTTTACACCAGTGTAAATTACACTCTTAATCTTGTTCGTTAATCTCACTTATATCTAAGAGCTCAAATTTTTAGTAATGTGAGCCATTGGATACAAGTGGATCAATGGTCAAGATTGAGTGTAAGACTTCTAACTCTTACACCGGTGTAAGAATATCCTGCCTCTGTATATATATATATATATTCCTTTTTGTGATCAATAATTAATTGTATTTCGTAGATGCAATAAAATGAATCGATCAAGTGAACAAGCATTCCAACTTATACTAATATAAAATGTAATTACCAAACGATGGTAGTTCGGTTAGCGTCAGCAAACTAAGTAGATGAGGTTAGAGACTTAGAATATGTGTTCAATTCTCTTCAATATCCTTTTTGAAGGGGATAATCCCGGAACTCGCCCCGAATCAAACTAGTCGCGAAGGGATGAACCGATTAAAATATCTCAAAAAAAAAAAATATAGTTAAAAGAGTTTTTCACTATCCATATTCAACCTGCATTGAATACTAAACAATTTTAAGTTTTAAAAAACCATTTTTTTTTTAATATTATCCATTTATTACTCATTTATTCGAACTCAAAACCACTAATTAAACTAGAACAATCTTTTATGAGTTGATCCACATGCTTGATAGTTAAGAATCCATTTTCGCTTCTGTATGGTTATGTCTCAGCGATTTGAAAGCCTCCAAGCAATTGCCCAAATCTTGCTTCAAGCAGAACAAGTAGAGATAAGGAGCGTTACATGATGCGTACAATTTTTTATGTGTTTATGAATTTATCCTCTTTAGTATTCTCACTTACTCATCAATTGAATAGCTTAAGGGTTCTTGAACCCATGAAAAATGAGCTTTCGAGCTAGTTTCTATCAATAGTTGCATTACGAATCATAATCTATGTATTCTTCTAGCATAACACTGGGGAAGGTTGCATTGGCTCCCCTAAAATTTGTATATTTCCAAATCTGTTAGGCTTGACCCTCATATTTGTGAATCTCTTATAGCAGAAAGTAATCGGTCAGCAGATTCACGATGTTTTTTCTTTGCCTTAAAGTTTCAATAGAAAATGAATTGTGATACTAAAACTGTTTTGCTTATTATTCAATTAATTATGTGCTTCCTCCACTGACTCGAGAAGTCACAATATGTCAACAAGAAAGGCACTTTATTTGAGTACAAAAGGTGAGATGATGTTGAATCAGATTCTGTATCTCTCAGTTGGCATTTTCTGAATTGCAAATTGCATATTTATCCTCACTTCATTTCAAGCTCAATTTGGGCCCTCAGGATTCAGATATATGTGTGAATCAAGATTCAGACATTCAGTACCAACAAAATGGATAAGGATATGAAACTCTGGAGTGTCTGAGAAGCTATAAAATCATAACGGTGAATCAAAATGAATAACTTGACATAAAGGATATTGAGATTGGATTCCATATCCTACGCATGCTGATAATGGAGTTTGGCACTTGCCTAGTGGATTATCCAAGCATTATAGTGACTGCTTAACAAATACATAATTTCAATGAGTAAAAGTGATGTCAAGTACCAAACACCTTGGCACACATGGTAAGAAGTCTGGGCTCATTAATCAGATGTCTCGAGTTCGAAATCTGAGAATAAGAAAAAGATTTGGAAGAGTTATCCCTTTAATAGGATTTCACAAGTACTCGAAGTGGATGTAATCTGAATGATGAACCGGTTGGGAAACTAAAAAAAAAAAAGTGATGTCAACTCAACAAATATAAGAGCTATCTCTTTAATAGGATCCGACAAATGCTCGAAATAGATGTAGTCCGAATGATGAACTGGTTGGGAAACTAAAAAAAAAAAAAGTGATGTCAACTCAACAAATATGAGAGCTATCTCTTTAATAGAATTCCACATGTGCTCGAAGTGGATGTAGTCCGAATAATGAACCATTTAGGAAACTAAATAAAAATTAAAAAATGATGTGAACTCAACAAATATATCTTATATTTCGGGTACTCACAATTTGTTGAAAGTTATCTTCAGAGTGGAAAAATCATGAAGTGCAGCAGCCTCACTGAGATAAATTTCTTCTAAAGTGATGTAGGTAAATAAAAAAGTGCATTTATTTTTAAATTATTTAATGAGTTAATATCATCCTTAAATTTAAATTAAATTCTCACCTAAAATAGAAGCTTCCTTTAGAATAAGTTTTTCCTCTGAACTGAAGCTAGTGCAAAATACCATTGACCACTCATGTCCCAGACAAGAATATCTTTGACCACTTCATTTGGTCCGCATAATAAACTAGAGAACATTTCATAAGCACAATATTACCAAGGATCCTTTGACATTCCACACACTGAAAAGGATATTTCATCTGATTCCCGTAACCAAGCATAATACAACAAGGAGGAGGCAGCATAAATGGCCATCAAATACAAGGTGTGCACAAAAGACGACAAATAAATGGGTTCTTGAGTGGAAAAAAGGCAAGCAAAAAATTAGCAATACCTTCTTGATCCTAAAGAAATGGAGGCAAAAAAGAGCAAAGCTAATAAATGAAAATCCTCAAAAGCAGGAGGAAGAAGAATAAGAATGGCTTCAACAAAGGATTTTATTTGTGGGTCAAACAACTAATAACCTTCCATTACAGGGGACATTAGGAGCACTAAAGATAAGTTCATTCCCATAAACTATACTATATGATTACACAAGGCAACAAGCATCAAAAGATAACCCTTGTCCAACAATATGTAAGCAATAATTAAACAATTTCATAAAGCAAAAAGCAAACATTTACTTAAATTGATGTTATGTGAAATAAAAAAGCACTACTTTGGAATTACATAATCAATTCAGAAAAAAGCACTAAGATTTTTTTTTTTTTTTTTTTTACCATTTCCCTTACATCAAACCAAATAAAAACCCCATCTTCTTCCCCTCTCCCTCTCCAAAAGAAGAAAACTATGAAAGAAAAAAAGATAAAAACTTGCAATCTCCCAATAGCAAAAGTGCAAATGCCACATCACAAAACCCCAAAAAGAAAAAAATAAAAAAAAAAATTCACCTAATTCGCCTCCTATCAGCTGCATACTGAGAAAGCGGCACCACCTCTTGAAGCGGCGTAGAAAGCGGCGTTGGGAGCGGCGAGTTCCGACAAACAGGGCAAGACCCTTTAAGCTTCAACCATGAATCTAAGCAAAAAAGGTGAAAGTAATGGCGACACTCTGGCATCATCCTCAGCATCTCCGAATCCTTGTACTCACAGAGACATATGGAACACGTGGTGTTGTGTCCTCCACCACTGGTTGCATCCCTGTTGAACTGGAACCTAGGATAGGAGTTGATGACGTTCTGGTCCAAACCCACCGCGCCACCCTGTTCTTCATCGTCTTCGGCCACGAAGATGACACGTGGCAGAACGATGCCGTCAGAGTTGGAAACGTTGTTGTTGGGGTTTGAGTTGCGGTTGCGTTTGCAGCAGAGGTAGGAGATGAGGATGAGGGTGGAGAGAAGAACGAGGAAGCCAAGGGCTATGGCTATGGAGTAGCCAAGGCCAAGGTTGGTGAAGTAGGTTTTGGAAACGGAGGAAGAGGACATGGGGTTCAAGAAAAATAGTAGAGGGAGAAGGAGAAGAAGAAGAAGGAGGAGGAGAAGGGGAATTCTCCATTTGTGTGTGTGTGGAGAGAGAGAGAGAGAGAGAGAGAGAGAGAGAGAGTTAGGGAAGTTGGGATTTTTTTGAGGGGCAAAGGGTGGGTGAGACTCTCAGCTTCTGCATTTAATATTGTGTTTTTGTGGAGACACTCTACTCTCAAGTCTCAACCAAGAGAGTTAGAATGCATTAAATTCTGGGAGAGATTTTATAGTATATAGTCTCTCTCTCTCACTCTCTCTCTTTGTGCGTGTTTGTGTGTGAGAGAGAAAGTGCAAGACTTGGAATTTGCACTTTCTTTTGTTTCAATTTCAACTTTGCTTTCCCCACTTTGGGTTTTGGAGGTTGGTACTTTGCAGTGAAGAAGGGGAATGTTGGTCAACTTCAACTAGTCAACTACAAAACTCCCTTTGTTTCGGTGTATGGTGTTTTTTTTTTTAACAGTAAACTATATTTTGGGTCTTTGCTAGAAATTATGGGTTCAATTTAATTCTTAAAAGAAAAAATTAATTGATATTTTTTTGAATTTTAAAATAGATTCAATTATTTAAAATTATGGTTCCTTTAAAATCTAAAAAAAATTCATGTTAATTCATCAAAAGAATTAATATGAATCTTTTTTAGAATTTAAGGGATCACGAGTTGATATTTTTTTTTCTTTTTAAAAAATTAAATTGATCTTCGTGATTTTTACTGAAGACTTTACTCTCTTTTTTAAGCCACATAAATTCTTCACGTGAGATAATTTTATTTAGCGTGATTACGGGATTAAATTCTTAAAAAAAAATTGATGTGAGCGAGGATTTTTTTTTTTTTGGAGAGGGGGTGAGTTCGGCTGCAATCGGAGGCTGAAGTGAGGAAAGGGTTTGGGGTTTGCTAGTTGCTACACTTGGTCGTGCGTCCAACAAATTAAAAAAAAAGTTGATGTTTTTTTATGTTTGGTGTAGTGGCACTGGCCAATGGGGTAATGGAGAGAAAGCGAGTGTTGCACAAATTGGTGTTCACGTTTGAGTTGATTGGAGAATCTTCATTGTATCTTTAAGAATGAAACTGACCAAGTCAAACCTCAACATAAATTCTTCCATTTTGGCTCTGATTCTGAAGATTGATTATATTCAACAAATTTGGACAAAGTGAAGTTACTTCTTCTACATTAGAATAATTCTATTAAAACAATACTTAATTGTTTATTCTTATTTGTTTCGTTGAGTATTTATTTTCACCAAAACATCTTTGATTGTATTCCTCCATCTTTGTTTTATTTATTCCATTGTAATTTGTATGATTTTACTTTTATGGCACGTTTTTCATACTCGAGAAGAAATTTGAGTATAAATCCTCGATGTCGCTCTGACCGTTGATTTTTGTGCAAAAACTTATCAACGGCTCAGGTTCGTTACCAATAATTTGGATAACAAGTAAGGTTTGGCGGAATGAGTTTTTTTGTCCCTTGAAACATTGAAAATGTTGTTTGGATTTGCAAAATGATTTTGAAAATATTGTTACTAAATTTTTGGTTTGGTTTTTACAAACAAGTTTCCCATACAAAATATGTGCGACAACATATATACAAGACTGATATGCTAAAAATGGAAGTGTAAGGATTAAAAGATAAATAATAGCATATAAAAATATGTATAAAATAACATGTTGCCACGTGCTATAAGAAGTACTTCGAGTGGAGGAGAACATTTTCGGTGCATTGACTTTGGATGCGATGTTAATATTATAATTATGATGTTAATATTATAATTATGCATTATTAGTAAATAGTAGTATATAATCATAATATTAAAGTAGATTTTTTTTTCATTTCTGATATACATATAAGCCAACGTGTCATCATTCCATTGGTAGGATACATCTACTATGATAGGGCTTTTTGACCCTTATAACCCTTTATTATTAATTAATTATCGATTTGACCTTGATTATAAACTATTTCAAAAACTTAACCCCCTCAAAAAACATAACACCAATCTGCCCCTGTTTGACCGTTGACCACCAAGCCTACCCGGGTACACCCCTCCCTACCCGGGTAAACAAAATTTTTCAAAAAATACCCGGGTAGGGAGGAGTGTACCCGGGTATTGTTCTTCGCACTGAGAAATTGCTTGAAGTTTTTACCCGGGTAAGGAGGGGTGTACCCGGGTACAATCAAGTTATCACACCACTTATATTTCAAGAATGTTCACCCAAGTTCCATGATAGAAGAACGAAGCACAAAAACAGAGGTTATAGGGTATACCATAGAAGGCACCAAAAAATGGAAGTAACTAGCCAAGATCAAGGTAAAATAGGAAGAAACCCTCGTTTTTCTTCTATTCTCACCACAACTTCTCGAACTTTGATCTTCTACTAAGCAGACAATGCATCCTTTTATTGCTTTCACGAATTTTGTTCAAGGAAAGAAAGCTATTAAGAACGATGTGTAGACCAGTGGGTTTACTCAAAAGAACTTGAAGTCTCTAGAATATTTTTTAGGAATGGCGTAAAACTCTCAAGAATTGTTTCACTCAGTCACGGTATTTGCTCGCAAAAAATATATCGAGATGATGATTCTTGAAGAACTCTTAGGTTTGTTTGATGACCTCTTTGTCTCATCGTGGTGCCATTGAAGATGTGGTGGAATTGTTTGGTTTAATGGTCGATGAAGGTCTTATGCCAGATGAAGTAACCTTATCCACCACACTTAAGGCATTGTCGGTATCTGCTTCATCAAGCTTCACGAGCTCCCAATTACCCGGGTACACCCTTCCTTACCCGGGTAAATAATTCAAGCAATTTCTCAGTACGAAGAACAATACCCGGGTACACCCCTCCTTACCCGGGTAGATAAAAATTTTCAAAAAATACCTGGGTAGAGAGGGGTGTACCCGGGTAAGCTTGGTGGTCAACGGTCAAACAGGGTCAGATTGGTGTTATGTTTTTTGAGGAGGTTAAATTTTTGAAATAGTTTATGATCAAGGTCAAATCGATAATTAATTAATAATAAAGGGTTATAAGGGTCAAAAAGCCACTATGATAGTATTATAAAAATTTCCCGAGTGAAGCATGATACTTGGTTTGGGGTATGTTAAATGACCACGTGATTTTATAGAATAAAAACCATTCCTCTTGATCTACTGCACTCTTTTTCTACCATCATGATGCCATCACAATTTACAAATAAATAAGATAAAAATTATTCTTATATTATATGAAAATAAATTTTTATTTTATACATCTTTTGATAATCATATATTATTTTCCTTTTTTTCTTTTAGATAATTAACTTTATTATTATTATGTGTCTGTGACATAAACTTCCTTTTTTTTCTTTTAGATAATTAACTTTATAATTATGTGTCTATGACCAGTGGCGGATGCAGGAATTTTATTGAGAGGGGGCGAAAAATAAAAATATCTCTTAATAAATAAAAGTACTTCAAATACAATCCAGATCTAATATACAAAAAATTGAAAGAAAGCTATTACAGAAATTAAGATCACTTCACTTGACTCTTACTCTACGTATTTTTGTATTGTTAAACCTATCTACAATAAAACAGATCCACAAAATGTTTAAATAAATTATAGATAAATAAATAAATTAAAAAAAATGTATGTGGAAATGCATTGTACCTAAATGATGCTTGGATAAGTTATTGAATCCAGTTAAATTATTCAAATATAATCATCAAGATATATTGTAGAACAACACTTCAGCAAGCTAACCAACATTGAAAAGTAAACACTTCTAGATCTCAGAGTCCAAAAAATAAAAAAAATACTGACTAAAAAAATACACAAACAGTTCAGTAAATGAAGCATTTGAAAATTTGAAATATTGCAAGTCCCCGATAAATATGTTGTTATACTCTATTGTATTTCACCTTGAGTTTTGATTTTTTTTTAATTTATTTGTCCAACACAATTTATTCTTTCGGTCATAAAGTAATCTTTAATGAAACATTAACGCATATAAAAAATGGTTAATCAATGGAAAATAATGAGTCGAAACAAAATATTCAAAACATGAGGATGATATGAATGGATTTCGAAACAAAACAATCAAATAATAGCAGCATTGTTAATTTTATAAAAAAAAAAAGAGATAGTGAAAGATTGAACTGAGGAGATTTGTTAAAATTGAGAGAGAAGAGTTTTTTTCTATAGAGATGCAGATGAAGCCATAATTGAATGTAGTGTGATATCTTATGTTGCCAAGAAAAATAATTTTATATTATACAATTTTTAAAATAAAATAATTTAATAATATTACTAAAATTTTATTTTATATATATTAAAAAAAGTTTCTTTAAATTTTTGGAAGACGGTAGCACACCCTAATTCCCTAAATCCGCCTCTGTGTGTGACATAAACTTCATTCGCGTAATATAAGACTGGATAAACCCAATAAAGAAATGACATGTTCCCCCGTTTTTCATTCTCCGTGTAATTTGAAAGACTTCATCCCTGTTGACTTGTAGTTAAAGTAACACCAGGTTTTTGTTGACAAAAATAATATTAAATATTGTGGAGCCTACTTGCTTTAATGACACGTCTTGTACTTCTCAATGAAAAAGACCTTTTTCTTTCCTTGCTAAGTGGATATCCAGTACATCGCTCAGGTCGTTTCACCATTTTTTCCCTTCAGATTAAATCATCTCCATCCATTAATAGAAAACGAAAATATATAAGCAATATTAAGAATTATTTTATTTTTTTATTATCTTTTATTATTAAATTTTAATTGTTAATTTTCGTCAATATAATTGTTTCCTTACACTTTCATCATTGTGCAATGACATGATATTAAAGAAAATGCAGGATACTGTACCCAAAAAAAAAAATGCAGGATAGACGTACATAAACAACTATAATCAGTTCAAGTAATCATTAACATCCATAATTAATTTGTTGAAGTTAAAATACGGATCATAGAATCGTTCAAGGGAATCTATTAATTCATCCTTGAGATGTAAACTTGTTGATTCCAGTTGTGACCTTTAATATATTGCTTCAATCACGTGGTTCCCTCATTAGATTGATTAGAGCTTGCCGTGTACACTGTACAATACATTTTTCACTTATATTTTCCTTATTTAGCTTATTCTTAATTGATTTAGGATTTGATTACTTATCACTTACACTCGAATTTTTAAAGATTGCTGCTATGTTATAAGATTTTTTTTTGTTATAAATTTTATATCGAATCTATTACCTTTTGAAATGATTCGAAAGGTTTGTCAAAAGTCACTTCCAGATACAATAAATAGGCTTTGGACCGAAA